GGGGTAAAATGTTAGTGTATGTTCTTGTTAACCTATTCATACGAATCCACTAAAATGTAGAATTTCATATAACTCTCAATTGTAATTTATATACACACACATATATTCATGTCATTCCAAGTGGCAGTAGAGTGTTCGTACGTATATGAAAAGAACCTGTAGATATTTATGTATGTGTTGTTGAATATTTAGGTATAATTTGTTACGTATTCTCTCTTCTTCTTTTTTGATGGGGGTTGATTATTTAAGAAGGAAAAAAATATACATATGCCAGATATCGTATACATGTTGGGTTTAGGATGGAGACAGGGTCGTTTTCACAAATACATATATGGCATTATTATAACTTTTAGAAAGTATTGCAACATTTGCTCCCCCTAGCTAAGTGCATTTCCTTTTCGAATATTTACAATTTTATGTGTAACTAAAAACAGGTAGCTCATAATTCCATATCTACATATTACTTTCCAAAATAAAATCTATATAATCAAACTAATACTAATTTGAAAGAATATGAAATGAACTTTGAATCCAAATCCCCTATATAGGGATAGGCACTAGTACGCTCACCACGTTCGTGTTGCACCGATTTAATTTAGTGTAACATCTTTTTTTTGAAAATTAACCAAAATATATTAAAATTTAGTGTTAACACTTGCATGCCGCCGTGTTGTAGTTTACTTAATGTTTAATTAGGTAACTAGTCTAATTTTAAACATAAATAACCTAAATAATTATTGTGACAAAAGGGTAAATAATGGGGGAGGTGGTTTTCGTATGGATTAAGAAAGAATATTGTATGGTTTTTATAAAAAAATTATAGTATCTGATAAAACAATGTGTTATTTAGCAAAATGATAATCGTGTATATTAATTTGCATGTTAATATATTTCTGATTAAATTCAATGTTATCGAATAAAATAACATGTTATTTGTTGAATTACACTCAAATTTTTTGTTAATTGAGAATCAAATCGTAATCAACCAAAATATTATTTATTTAAAACAGTCAACACAATTTACTTCGTTTATGAGAATGTTGCGTCATATCATGTATATTTTCTATAATAAACTTAAAAAATTACTATATACAACTGATGTTAAAAAAAATGTTTATAACTGATTTATACTAATATTTTTGAAAGTTATGTTCATTATTTTTAGCTGCTAAAAAAATAGCAAAACCGGTTATTTTGACCACATTTATTTCCCATTGACCATATTAAACTGTTCACATATGTTCCACACCAACCAAAATTACTTATTCCGCCGCAAGTATTCGA